TTTACTGTTTTGGTTTGTGAGCGAGGAGACGGATTTGCAAACAGCGGATGTTTTTCTTGCCAGCTTCATTGCACAGTTGGCGATCATTAATGGTCTACTCCTGCACTCTCTTTATTTGCTTTTTCTCGAGGACTTTATAATGTAATATAAGAGACTGGTTATTTGACCTACCTTTAAAAGCTTCTGTAAATACATCAAAATGATTAATAATAACAAAAATGGGCTCAATTCCCTTAAATTGTTTTAAGTCTTTTGTGCTTTTCAACGCATTATATAGAATAATAATTATATTTTCGGTAATGTGGCGTGATGTAGGTGTATTTAAAATATGAGTAAATATCAGCAGAAGTTTATGCAATCCCAATTACGAATCTATTCTTCTCTAATGCATTATAAGTGAAGTGCAATGTGCAATATTTTTTGCACATAGCAATAAATGCAGCTGAACACGATAAGTTAGTATCAAGTAAGTTCGCTTCACTTCTTTCACACAGCGCTTTGGAGATGTTCTCAGTGACTATCAAGGTACTAAAGCCTTCTCCGAGGTACACTTTTTATGGTGTGCTGTTAAGCGTCCCGCGAAACATTCGTTACCTTCCGATGAATGTTCCTTTTAAAGGCTGATTATGTTAAGTAATACGTGAGCGAATACTTAGACTTCAAATGCATATTTTAAAAAGTCTGCACCATTTCCCGGGCGACGTTTGATTAAGGGATATTCAATGGCTCTTACTCAGTTCCTCAGACCTTACAACAGAAAAAGTTTTTTTATATGGGAATACAAGTGTTTGGGTATTAACATAGAAAAAAAACCTGGCACCCGACCTAGTATCGACAATCTTAAATCGATCTGATATCGACAAACCTCGCTGGCACCCTATATAATACCGACAATCTTAAAAATGCAATTCGTCTGAACACTTCGAATGTTTCGTAGCAGGTTTTAAGCAAGTCAAGGAAAGTGGACCTGAGAGGTGGCAGCAATGGCTTTGACTATCATGGAGAATGTCTCCGAGATGTTATACTGAAGAAATGAAGCCTATTTTGTAAATCCAAGATAATGACTTAACCTAGTTCAGGTGTATTTATTTCTGTGTACAATAAATGCATTTTTATACTTTGAAAATGGGTGCAGCCTATACATGAAATTCCCCTCCACAATTGTAACATTAGTGATCTTGGTAAAAAACTGCATGTCTTTTCTTCAAGGGCAAAATTATTTTGTGCCATTTTGATAGAATTATACTTCCTTTTCCATTTTGCTTAGCAGATAGCGCTGCAGCCGTTATCTCCTTTGTTTCATTATTGATTTTGCTGTTTTAATGAAATTTTGGAAATAATTTTGATCATGGACGAGAAAAGATTCGTGTCAAATTTTCTAGAAAATGCATACCTACTTTAAAATAAATGACAGCCTTTAAATTTTGCCTTAATTTCAGATGCGTTTTAATTACAATGAGCCTTCTTGTAGCGACCTAAAAAATGTCTTTTTCCTAAAAATTCAACAGTTTTTGTGAGAATATAGAAAAAATCAATACTGAACATCATCTAAAACGATCATCTTCGCAGAAGATCAAAATCATCTGGCCGATAGTCACCTCATAGAGGATTCATTGTATCTGCAAATCACATATGGCATTTAAATGCTATCAAAATTACTATTTGTCTGACATTAATTTATTTATTAAACTTCTATATTAAAGACTTCGCTAGGAATAAGTTATAATTAAAGAAAGGCTTCTAATATTTAAGTTATCAACATTTAGTTTTTATTTTTAAAATTAAATATGAAATAAAGGTTTATCAGAGCAATTAATTTGTCATACATATCATTAAGAAAGTAACATCAGAAAAACAGATTCTGAAATTGTAATAATTTCTTAAAAAGTAAATTCTATCAAATGATACGTAAAATTTGATCTTGCTATGTATTAGTCTCCAGAACAACATATGCAATCAATGTAAGATAAGAAATTCCTTCTTTTATTTTGCCAATTTGTCTACCGGTTACTGAAAAATTAATTTACTTGGAATAAAATCTTTGAAAATAAGATGCATTAACAGCCGTATTTATTGATGCGTCCGGATGAAGAAATCGAAGAGACATTTAACGAATTTATATATTTTGTCATTGTCTAACAGATCAATTATAATTTAAAGCATAAACAGAATTTTACAGAACATCAACAGAAAATATTTTGCTATTTTCGTCAAAGTAATTGTTTCATCATTATTTCTGAAGTATATTGAAATACATCGCAGATGATTTTACCCAAACATAATTACGCCATTAAATGGAAAAACAGTAAACGAATCAAGAAGCTACCTTTCTAACGCATTACTTACGTGGTTTACTTAATTTATCAAATTTTTGCGAATTAATTCTACGTAGAGAAAACAATACATAATGGATATCCTTGTTTTCTGCAGAATGATTTACTATAGAAGTTAATAAATAAATAAATAAATATTAAATTTTACTTCTGTTCTTCAAACATTAGTAAAATTTTTAAGAACTGTACATTTAAAACATGAAATCGTTGAAAAAATTTAAAGCTAAAGCATTAAACAACAACAGATCTGCTTATTGTTAATCCTTCTAACGTTCTCGACAAATGAACTCCTCAGTTTCACCTCAATTTAATAAGCTATAAAATATTATCCTCAAATAATACTCGGACAAACATTTGTTATAATACTGAATGAACACTATTAAAATACATAAATACTATTTTACCCGAATATTTTCATTCAATCTCAATATTATACACCACTGCATACGCATAAAAGGTTTAAAAAGATTATATGCCAGAAAAGTTTCAATCAGAACTCAAGATTACAATCGTGTAGCAAATTGATTCGTCATTACATATAATGGAATTGATGAAGTACATACATTAAATGATACATCTCAGACTGTTTTTAGCATAAATATAACCGCAGGGCCACTTACTGTTCGGACGCAGCATGAGTCATTGCAAAGATCCCAAAACAAAAGGAGCCTCTTTGTTTGACTGAATGCATCACGAAACAAAGTAATCCATTACACGAAAGCTACCGTGGGTGGAAAGGGGATGATAAAAGCAAACGAGAGCTCTTTGGTGGCCATCACTTTAACGAAAAAAGAAAAAAAGAAAAAAAAAAAAAAACACACACACACACACAGTTAAATAGAGAAGAAAATAAATAACAAAGACGGGAAGTCAGTGAGAATAACGTCAAGCGACTACATGCAGAAACGTTAAGATCTCGAAAAAGAGCAGAAGTTTATTTGCTTCTTTCCTTTCTTCTGTTCTGAGTGTTTAATAACTCATTCTTCTTAAAAGAGTCGTTACGATGGTAAGCATGACAAATTGCAGCGCTCAACAATGTAAATTTCTTTTCGCTAGTGTACTACTCTGGAATGGCATTGAAGGCACAGAAGAGCATTTAACGATGGTGTGTCCGTCGCAGTAAAATAATTTATCTCGAATGGAAATGCATTTCGCCTGCAGATAAAAACATTTTTCGGAAGAAGCATTTGCTTCTGTTTGAATTCTCCGGCAGCTGTAGGGTACATCTAATATTTCTTTGGCAGATGAGGAGAGCAAAAAAGGCATAGGTTTGCTTTCCATGACGACTGCTGGTCTACAGTGTGGTCGCGTGACAATCGTTTAAACAATCTTAAGTTAGAATTGATGGAAAGTAATTAGATCATTAGAATTTTACGACGCAAACATGCCTCAAGTTACACTGCATGAAGACAGTAGGTAAAAAAACTGCAGTCTTAAAAAACAAATTTAGGTTAATGGCTCACAGCAAACTTAGAAAGAACCTTCTGTCAAAGAGATCATTGCTTGATTATGTACCAGCATCTTCATAAATCGGACTTTATTTTGTTTGTAAGCAATAAAACGGACTCATCCCATTGCTATTGTGTAGTAACTGGAACATTCAGATTCAGTACCCGGTGAGGGTACCAGTGAGTATTCAAAGTTTCCTGCACCAAAAAATTTGCTTACTGTTTAGTGGCACGTAAACTAAACACGTGGTTGGATGATAATGTCCCATTCATTTGATTTGGCCGAATGGGTATTGCTTCCTCACCCTAGTCGCCATTAAAGTGAAAAGAAAGAACGTGAAGCTTTCAAGACATTCCTTCCATATGTTCTTATGCTATATGTCAGCACATGCAGCTGGTAACTGGAAGATTAGGCTTCGATTCCCACCGAAAAAGCAAATAAATTTTCAAGATTTCCTGCTCCAAAAACCCTGACAACACTAAAGCTCCGCCCGAACTAAAATGTGGTAGACACACTTTTAGAAAATTGTCTGCATCTAACACTAAAATGCGGTACATGCAATCATTTCGCTAACAGCTTATATGGCCGAGTGGGATCACCTTCTTCTTCCAGTCACTCTTTATATCACGGCATAGAGGGGTCGGTGGGGTACTTTTATGCAGCGGTCCCCTTTAACAGTACTCACAGCAATTGCAATAAGAGCGCACAAGGTTAAATGTAGGTACAGTTGGTGGCAAATTGACTAAATATGGCCACTAAAATGTGGTAAGCATAGGCAACTCTCCATACACTTAATCTGGCCAAATGGGATAGGTTTTTCTAATTCTCCTCTTTAGGCCTTGGCAAACAGAGGTCTACGAAGCATCACTGCGCAATTGTTTCCTTCAAGAGTGCTCCCGATAATGAGCAGGAATATGCATGCTTAATTCGAACCGATGCGCTTATCAAATAGTTTGGCTGTTGACGGATATTCTTCTAGCAGGCAGTACTTATGTTTCTATTTCGCCTATTCAAGAAGCTAAAAATAAAGAAATGAATAACTAAGAAGAATTTTACTCTTAGAAAAATAATAAATGTTGGATGCATCTAATCGTTTTGACAGAATGGTAAAGTTACCCTTGTTTGAAAAATACCAGAAAACAAAATTTGGTTCCGCTTCTTTTGCTTAACAGAAAGTTCAGTTTGAGTAAATGATTGAAAAAGTAATTGATGACTTACGTTGGTAGTGAGCTGGGATGTCAGGGTGGCAACTTTTTCATGAGCCTGGTCCAGTTCCCTCTTGAGCTTCCGGATCTCGTGCGCTTGTTTCTCCTCTGCCTGATAAATACAGGATAACAAAACGATCAAGAACAACAAATAGATTAAAACATTTACACAATAAGTAATTTTAAAAATAAAAATATTCTGCACTATTAGATAAAAATCTCACTATAAATATCTGATGTGAATAACCCAAGTATTAAGCTGTTGATAGGTTTTTGTATGAATAATTCGAGTTGTATGAAACGAAGAACTACGACAGAAGCTTCTTCATCCCAACTAATTTGGAACAGAGCCATTTCGGACAACTTTTACCATTCGAATACCAACACTAGTTACTTTCGGCAATTAAAGCTAAGCATATTTTACAACAGCGTTAAGCAAAAGCATGTATTACATTACATTTACGTATTTATATAGGAAGCATTTACATATTTCTTTCATTTAAAATAAAGAGGAAGCTTTTGACATTGTTCTCGCAACGCTTTCCAACAGCTATCTAGCACCACCGTTTCGTAAATGTTACAGGCTTTCCGAGCCTGATGGTGGAGTTTTATGAGGTCTCTGTGAAATAAGTACTATGTAAAATAGATTAAAATGCTTTTATTCGATCGAGTAGGTCAAAATGATTATATGCCTGTATTTTTATCGTGACACAACATCATCAGTCGATGGCACAATCAGTTCCACGAGTCTGGAAGCATGCAAAAAAGAAAACAACAAAAAAGGATATAAAATCAGAAAATAACGTTAAAAGAGTCCGACAACCATAGTTCCCAAATTTAACCTGTTAGCAGCAGTTATGTGTTTCTCTCGGTATGCCATGTTTTACAACAGTCTCTAGATCAAATACGCATGACGCTACATTCCCTTAAAATTCTACTGTTGCACTCAATCAATCAGCAGTCAAGAAGGGTAGGATTATTTGCGCTCATTAGCATGCTAGAGGAACATGACAGTAAGCCAGGATTTATCCTCTCTTTGGATGAATTTCCGTTTCATGTAAACACCTGTAAAAATCTGCTTGTGACCCACGAACATATTTGAGATTCTAAGGTCAGATGTGGTCCAAGGGACATAAAAATGTTCGGCCTTGTTTCTTTTCTGCAATGAATCTGCAATGAATTTAACTCTTTTTTTAAAAAGGCCTGTTTAATAGGGAGTTGACTGTAATTTTGTACGTGATCATTTCTGAGTGACTTAATTAAACAAAAGCACATTCAATCCATTTCATGGAATGGAATTTGAAAGAGATATGAAATCCCTTTATTCATCCGTATCAGCTGGTGGTGGTATCAGCGGGAATTCATCTTTACAATTAGATGTAAAGCAACCTGAAAGAATCAATCAATTTTTTTTATCGTGTATGTAAGTTCTCCGTACAAGTCTCACATTTGCCTGCAGTACAGTACAAAGTCCGTAATCCGGACTCGTCGGGACTTCGGCGATTCCGGATTAAGGGTTTTTCCGGATTATAGATCATCAATTTAAATCTGGTAAGATGGCATGCAGAAATTATACAATTAAAAATATGAAACCGTAATTTATGAAATAAAGAGCAATTGTGATCTAAAGGGTATCAAAATTTACAAAAAAAAGCTTAATATTTATTTGTTTACTTTATTAAACATTCCTTTCAATGTAAGCTGTTTAAGTTGCTTCGTTTTTTCGTGCTAAACGCCCATGCGTACAAAAGCATATAAAAGAAAGTTTGTGGCTTTGATGTCCGGATTATAGATCATTCCTGATAATGGATGTCCGGATTACAGATTTTGTACTGTATAAGAAATATGAGCAGATTTTTTTTTTAAATTCCGAAATCCTTTCTGGAGTATTGGCATCATTAGTAAGAATTTGGTCATACACAAATAATAAAGATTTAAACGAAATTATAAAAATTTACAAGAGGTGTTTTGCAATATCTTTTAATTTACTAGAAATATTTTATGCTCCCATTTTTTAATAGTTAGCAACTTCCAGATAACTGCATTTAAGTTAGAAGATATCAGCAGATTTATAAAATTATACTAAATTATAGACTAATTATAGACTAAATTATAGACTAATTATATTATATACTAAATTATAGTCTAATTATATTATATACTAAATTATAGACTAATTATAGAAGTTTTTTTAAAATTCATTCTTTACATACTGATCAGTCATTAAATTAAATTATATCAAATTGCTTTAAAAATTATTATAAAAATGTTATTTGAACCCAAACAATTTTTTTTCAAATTAATGTTAGGATAAAAGTACCGTATCGCACCTGCCGTTTTATTTTATTCACTTTTGATTCTTCAAAAAGTAGCTGTTTTTAATGAAAATAAGTTTTAAATTATTATTATACTTTTTCAAGTTTAAGTAGAGCTATTTAAATGAATTCCCTTTTGAACCAAGAATGAAAACATTAATGACATACACTGAGAAATTTCTACATTCCGACTTTGCATATCATTACTTATTTCATGAAGCTTAGAATTAAAAGTTCAAAATAAATTGCTCAATAATGAATTTTTGGAATCAGGTGAAAGATTTTTTTTTCTTGGAAAATATTTAAGATGTACTCGTATTACGAATCCCATTTGTTATTAAGGTAAAATGGAAGAGAATAAAATGTCCACTTCAGTTAATCAGTAAACCGCTGAAACAAAATGAGATATTAATTCGAATTTACGATTAAAGAAAGGAACATTTCGTTTTATTGCACTTCGTAGGTGCTATGTAATCTAAGTCAAAGATTTGTGGTACAGCTACAGCATTCGTAGACTAGTTTCGCACATTTACTCGTTCGTGTTCTTTATTCTCATAATATTTCAAACCTTTTCCTCACTATTAGATGGAAACTAAGCTAAATAATAGCCCCACGATGGCATCTAAGAGTTTAATGAAAAAACAAAATATCCAGTCTCTCAAAAATTATTCACTACGAATTTTGTTTTTCAGAAAATCACGGTTTCTCTGTGAATTTCATGCGACGTTATAGAATTAAAAAAGTTAACTCAATTAATTTCTTTTTCTTAAAGGAAGGAAAGGCATCAAGATGCAAAAGATTTACAAGTCAAATTTTAAATTTAAAACGGAACAGATCGGCTCGCCTTTTTCAGAATGAATTTAACGTCAACCAGACACACATCAGTTAGTAACAACAGTGCTGAAGGCAGACAATAATAGAGGAATTTCATCAACAGGCTGATGTTGCCAACTTCCTCTCTCTTTTAGATTCTTGCTCCTTATTTAAAACTCGCGTCATTTACATATTCTAGTGGATTAGATGAAACAGTAGAAGTCGAAGAAAGTTTTTAAGCAATTAATGTGTTAGTTGAAATAAGCCTTATACTGAAGAGTGAGGGCACGATTCATGCTATCGGATTCAGGGCATAATTTCAAACGTTCGTTTCTGAAAAATAATTAACAAAATTGGTTTTAGGTCAATGTCCCAGGCCTCATAATGGAAGAATACTAGGTGTTTGATTACGTCTGCCTTGAGTGACAAACAATCCTGAAAGGCGGGTGATTTCATATGAGAATACAGCGAACGAAACCACTACGAGTAGGCGATTATATTGGACTGATCACTGGCTGAAATAAAAAATAAAAATGCGAGAAGTTATAAAGGAAAGAGCAGTCCAATATGTAATAGAACGAAAAAGTACCGAACTTTAATAATAACTAAAAACTGACATATAAATAGAAGAGCATCGAAAATCATTTCCCACATTTCGTTTGATTTATCGTTTGGGGGGGTGGAGAGGATGTGACAGAGGGTGATGTGCACGCGACCGTCAAAAGCAAGGTCATCTATATTCCTTTCATTCCACCTTTCACTTTCGTCTCCTCCTCTTCCACTATCCTTCTATCCCAGAAAACTCCTGGAAACGAGTTTGTGACAGATGTTTTGGCAAGTTGGTTGGCCTTTATCCTCACCTGTCTCGATAAAGGAAGAATTTTTTCCTGCCTTCTGTACAGTCATGCGAAATATCTGTATAGGTCAGCGATCTCTAAATTTTTTGATCGCGTACCTTAAGACGAAAATAATTATAAGTTGCACCGCATGCAATGTAATATTAATATTAATGTAATAAAATAAAATATAAAGTTCATGTGCGAAGAGATAGCAGTTTCATCTTGAACGTCCAGAGGTATTCTTCCCTCTAAAGGCAGACTGCTTTGTTTCCATCAAAATCTTCCTGCGTATGCCTGTGCATGCCTGCTTGTGCATTTATGATGTTGAGCTTCCCAGACGCTACTGAAACAGACCATAGAGACCAATGACAGAATATCGCACTCACGTGATACACGATCATACACTCGCAGATGATCGTGAATCTACTTCTTTGGCGTACCTCCTAGAGTACGCACCGCACATTGGAAACCACCGGATAGGAGAGACAGACTGCAGACTGTGCGTCTAGCAAATTTTCAACTCTCCGTTCTCCGCCCCCCCAAAAAAACTGAAGTGATATAAAGAATTTGCAAACTTTTTCGCCGCAATAGACCTTTATAAGGAATTAACATTTTCAGGCCATTTTATGTCATATCCATTTTTAGAGTAATATAAGTGTATAATATAGACTAGTTTCGCACATTTACATATGTGTATGTGTAAGATAAAAAAATATGTAAATCAAAATTATAATTTAAATTAGCCCCTTAATTCCTTATTTTAATTTTGGTACTTGCCCTCTATATTCTAAAAATCTTAACTTTTTATGGACTGCGTCATTTCTAGATTAATCCTATTATATGACTTTTACATAACAATGACGTAGCTAATTCGGAACTTAACTCAAAGTTTCGAGAACCGAAACTGTTCGCTTAATAAGCTGCCACACTGGATAAGGGCCGAAAATACTGCTGCATAGAATACTGGGAATTGCGGTGTTGTTAAACGCGCCCCACAAATTTAGATACGCAATTACATCTTAACCAATAGAGAATAGCTAGCAGATTAGCGGCCCATTGCCAGTAGGAAGGCGAAGTGGCGAAAGAGGATGCGTAGTTAGTTGCAGTGCTATTTATAAGCTCGGAACGCTTTGGTTTATTATTGAGAAGCGATTTCGCACTGCGGTTGCTGCAGGGAAAGCGTGATGCAACGTGGTGCAATATAAATCCTCGAAGAGATCTATGAAATTAAAATTAAGAATTTACAGGACCGTTCTAATTAAGTTTAATTCGGAATTAATTTTTTCTTCATATTTTGTTATCTTACACACAAATAATATATATATATATATATATATATATCTATATATTTATTTAAATTTAAACAAATTTAAATTTTAACAAACATGTATATACATAAAAAAGGAAATTTAAAATTGTTTCATATATATGTATACACATACACACAGCAGATTACAGATTAATATTATAATTAGTTGAGCCCTGTCGAAAAACAAAAAGCTAAGCTTTCTTATAGAGGAGTGTGACAGCAAAAATACTGTCACAAAACATCAGCGTAAAAAAAAACTGTTTGTGGAAAATACAAAAAAGAAAAAATCATCAGGATAACGGGCGGTAGTTGGATATTTTTTTTCACTGCAATAATAATTTAATTGTACGTAATTTAATGCTGGCTTAATTAATGCAACCAAATGAGAAGGGTACAGGTAAATTTAGAATTACGTAACGAACAATCCTGGTGTAGAATTTGAATATAGATTTATGGAGAGATCAGACTAAAACTCCTCTTCTTTAGAAACAAAAAAAAAAAAAAAAAAAAAAAAAGTTTGCTTCTCTTTGCTGAGATACCTTTTCATAAGGAATTAACACTTTTAGGAACTCAATACAGGGCGAGCAGAAAAAGGTCCCTCTTTTCCAGCAGGGAAGTCATTTTTGCATGTCCTCGCTCCATAGAGTTTTATTCAAAATCTTAAAAATTTTTTTTTGCCTAATTTTAAATTTCACAATCCGGAGCTTTTCTTTCATTTGATACGGGTAAATTGTTAATAGCAGTTTTCAGTTAAATATAATATGCATTATTCGTATTTCTTGTGTTTATTTTAACTGCTCTTGAATAAACCGTGATTTTGAATTAAGTGCGGACGTCGTCCCTAGTAAATCCAGAGCTGACTGTATATATGATGATTTTGATAGAGAAAAAGTCAGATTCTTTCAATCATGGCCGATGTTGTAGATGGTGGTGTTCTGTAGATGCGTAAATACGCAGTTTCAGTCAGATGTGAATCGTCGTTCAGATTTAAGTATTTCTGGGGAAAAAAAAAAAAAAAAAAACCGTGCCCATCGTCATACGGCTGTTCTTTTTCTTCGCTGTCCGGAGGAAATGTGAAGGGAAGCCCTCTGAACCTTTCTTACCTTCTTGGATGAAGCGGTAGATTTTAGGGTGGCAAAAATTTTAGAATTTAGAAAGCCACGGAAAGGGAAAAAATTAAGAATGGCAAAATTCTTTGAATTTAGGGAATGCACTTCGCAGCAGAATTTAGGAACAGCGAAATCTTAAAATTTAGAAAGCCACGGAAAGGAGAAAAATTATGAAAGGCAAAATTCCTTGAATTTAGGGAAGTCATTTAGGAATTTAGGGAAGTCAATTAGGAAGTCACTTCGCAGCAGAATTTAGGAACAGCAAAATTTTTAGAATTTAGAAAGCCATGGAAAGGAAAGAAATTACAAATGGCAAAATTCTTTGAATTTAAAAAAGGCACTTCGCAGCAGAATTTAGGAACAGCAAAATTTTTAGAATTTAGGGAGGCACAGAGATCGGACCGGAGGCAAAATATGTAGCGCCAGCCGTGGTAACAGTGTAAAATCAAGAACATACAGATCATTATTTTCCCTTCTTTATTTGGACTGCAAACGCCGGGGTAATGATTACATATTGTCATTAAGTCTAATTCTACTGTGTATATTTTACTTATTGTATATTATTGGGCTGCCCAACATCAGACTGTACTTTAGCTTATGTATATTCTATATTTGTGTGTATTACACCCTTGTAAAATTTTTGCTTATTGTCAAAACTCGTCCTTTTTGGCCCTGCACGCTTTTGTTATTTTATTTAATAAATGTGGGGCCTGGGCGGTTGTTGGGACCATCTTTCGTGGGCATTTAGTCTGTTGGACCGCCCCCGGGTTTGAATTTGGCTTTGGGTTTGGGCGCCCGGTGCGTGGCGTCTTGTGATTCCTCTTTAGGCTCTAGATATAGGTGGACGTGGTGCTATACCGATTAACCTTATAAGGTATTTCTCCCACTTTCCTAGCGTCCTTCGTGGTGTAGTGGTTCTGCACACTGAGCCGGTATTTCAGAGGTCCGTGGTTCGATTCCCGGCGAAGGCGTTTGCTATTTTTCATCTTTTCTGCCTCAAAAAAATCCTAATGACTCTACAACCTTTTGGTAAAGGGACAGTGCCCACGTCCTCCGTTGCTTATCGCTTGCTTACTATGACGTAATATTTTTACATTCCCTTTCGATAAACTGAGCTGCATCCGGGATCATTCTATACAGAGACAGTCACACATACTACATCTGCTAAGTTTTAGGACTAAGCTTTAGGGCATACGAAATTAAAACTTGTAAAAAAATAACATTTTTACTCTTTAGCACATCCTACGATTTTTGTAAACTATGCAACGCTTGTAGCTACTTGATTACTTTGCAGAACTCATCATTTGGAAGACAGTTTTAAACCTCTGGTTATGCATTTCTGAAACTTTTATTGTTATTAAAATACAGACGAGGTGACTTTTATTTAGGAAAGAAAGGTAGTATGCATTTGCCGATTCTGGTGTATAAGGGCGCTGGTTGAAAACAGTGACACATTTTTTCCTTGAAGGAATAGAATTATATGATTTGCGCATACCTGCGCAGCAGAAACCAGGCGTTCAACTGAGCCTTTTTAAAACTGATATACTGAATTCTTTTCAGAAGTCTGCCCATTATGGCTTCATAAAATGTAAATTCACCATTTTTCTGTCAGGAAGAAATTCCTTGTGAATTATCCTTTTCAATCAAAAATGGTAATCTACATGGTCTTTACTCGTGATTTCGGAGTTTCCATGGCTATGGTGAGAACCTTCTCTAACACAAGCAGATAACTACCGTTTTGTTTCAAGATCATAAACAAAGCATCAAGTTTATCTCCAGTTACAATTTTTCTTTAAACACTTTTCTGTTTTTCTCGATTTTACAGTAGAACTTTATTGCGCTTATTTACTCCGTTTTCCAATCAGCAACAGAAGAAATTCACTGGATCAAAGAAAATGATTAACTGCATAGAAAATTATACCTGCAAACAGACAATATTTTAGGAAAAAGCTATAGTTTGACCGCCGCAGCCGCTAACATGAACGCCAACATGCAGCGTTTAAAAATTAAGATAAAAATTAAGAATTAAGATAAAAATTATGAATTAAGTAATCTAAGCCGAAATATTGATCATCATTTGTAATTAACTCTTTCATTAATTGTGTTTATTTTGCGCATCTATTTATTTATTTATTAATAAAAATACAAATGTTTTCAAAACTTAATTTTGCTATATATACATAATTTAATAATAAATTGCAATAAATAATAGTTATCACATGACGATTTTTATTGTAATTATTTTTTATATTTTATTGTAAAATTTTCATTATATTATTAATGAACTATAATAATATTATTATAGCTGGTTATAAATCTTTAACGACGATAGTAAATAATTATTATAATTATATTATAATTAATAATTATTATACATATTTTTTATCTTTGAACTTAAATGTATGCACATTATTACGTACTGAAAAATATATATTTCATAATAACTAGTTTAATAAAAAATTATAATTATAGTTATTTAATTAATTATAATAATTATTATACATATTTTTTATCTTTGAACTTAAATGTATGCACATTATTACACACTGAAAAAAGATATTCATAATAATTAGTTATAATAATTATATAATAATAAATCATTATCATTATAGTTATTTTAATTATACTATAATAATTATACTATAATAAATAAACATTACATTTCTTTTTTATCTTTGTGCTAAAATCTATATGCATTATTATGCATATTGTCTCGGGGGGGGGAACCCCACAAATTTATTTGTTTATTTTAACGGGGGGGATATTCCTGTAATACTGTATTGCACTTGTATTACAAAATGTCACATTACAATACTGGCAGATGCTACAATTTGGGCATATCCTACTCAAATCAGGTGAAATTTATTGACAGTTTTTTCTACACATCAAAAAGGGTACTTCTGTCAGAAAATATTGTTCGGTGATGTTCAGTGATCTTTTTTTTAAAATAAGCAATATAAGCGATGGTATATGCACTGCTCATAAAAAATTCGTAAATTAAAGGAAAGAAATTCATCATGTTTAGTTTTCAGGTTTGAAGTCAGTATGAATTTTAGTTTCTGCTCATATGAACCAAAGGTGTGAAAAACATGCGATGAAAGGATCTCTTTAAATACATTTATTACAAATAAAATAATAACTAAAATTTAATCCTGCAGGTCTCACAAATATTATCTCAATTAATCAAATTTGCGACAAGACAAAATTCATAGGATATTAAGTTGAACATAAAGCTTCCTGTGCTGCCATCTTTTGGTCGTTAAAAGAATTATGTAACTAATGGAGATGTTATATTAAAAAATAGAAGAGATAAAGACTTACCGTAGAGTAGATAGACGAACTTGTGGACACCAAAGATAATGCTGATCCATGGACTGAAAAAAAGAGACAAATAAATAAATAATAATAATGAAAAATATTTAAGAAATTAAAACGATAAAAATTATAAAATTAAAGTTTTATTAACAGTTTCATAAAAATAAACGTTCCTTTTTAAAGTTTATTGTAAATTCGTTTCGCATTAGATTAATAAATAATTATATAAAACATAGAAAATGATAATATATGTTTAATAAAGGATAAAAACATAAATTATATTATTAATATCATTCGAAAATCTAAACAAATTCAAGCAAACAGCAAACATTAATTCTGTTTGAAACAAGCATGTAAACATCATCAAGTGAGAACAAATAAAATCTTTCTTTTTTCATAATTGTTGCCAAAACTAAGAAACCAAAATGTAAATATTTAACATTTAGAAACATGTTCCTATACAGAGTACTTTTCCTTTTCAAGTGTATTTAGAAATAAGCATGACAATCTATATTTGTGAAAAATTAAATGAGATAATTATAGCACTTTATTTAAGTATTTAATTACTACAGAGTGGCAAAAGTAAGGAGATTCTTCAAGAGTAAAAAAATGTTTTGAGAATGTAATTTGCGGCTATTAGGAACGGTAGTAGATTGAAACTTCATGCATATTTTTATTCTGTAAAATGTAAAAATAAAGCTGATTTTACATTTTTAATAGCTAATTACATTTTTTAATAGCTAATTACTAATCTCCATCCCATACACAGTAATACCTCCTATAATGGACATCTCTGAATAAGGGACACCTCTATTTAAGAGAGAATTCTGTTGGTCCCGATGTCTTTGAATGCAGATTTTTAAGGGACACTGAAAAAAAGTTTCAAAAATAAGATAGAGACAGGTACTCTTTGTCAGTAATCTTTTGAAGTTTCAAAGGCAATTTTGTTCTTAGTGAAAAATAGTTTTGTGACAAGGGAACAATAAAATGAAAAGTTAATCCCCTCTCTTTTGAAAACTGCTTTCCAGCAAAGAAAAGGGGAGCAATACATTGAGAAAAAGGATATTTCATATTCATAGAATTCAAAATCTAGTTATTCCTGCTACAGTTCACGGCAGGGAGAAGAAAACAATGTTAGCAAGTTTTAAAGCAAGCTTAGACAGGGACCAAAGGTGAATGAAGAAAAGATGATGAAAGGATGGTGAGATGACTGGACTACTTGCCATAGTACAGGAATCTCACATTGTGAACAGTGTGAAAATTTCTATCCTTCTTAGTTCATGCTAGGACAGGGAAGCAAAGAAGTGTAGTTTTGTACTTGCATGCTATTTTTACGCACGTTATCTAGCACGACTTCAAAGAGAAAAATATTAACATAAACAAAACTTTGATTGAAAGCAGAAATTGAGAAGCTTAGTCAGAGAGATTTAGGGCAGAAATTTGGAACAAGTATAAACCAAATAAGTCATGTGCTAAAGGATGAGAGGAAATGAAGATGCTACGGATTTACTAATTCAAATGAACATTCCTAGATTATAAATTTTAGAAAAACAGAAGCATGCGAAACAAATACAGTAATGTTCAATTGGTTTTGTTCTGTAAGAGCAAACAATATCTCTGTAAGTAAAATATTATTGCAAGAAAAGGCAAAAGAAGTTTCAGAAAGTCTGGAACTACAGAACTTCAAAGCATCAAATGGTTGGTTAGTCAGATTTAAGCAAAGACATACCATTACTTTTAAGACTATTAGTAGTGTAGTAAAATCAGTAGATGTGCAACATGTAACAGACTGTATAAAAGAGCTAAATAAAATTGTGAAGGATATGAGACTAAAAACGTCTACAGTGGAGATGAAACTGAATTACGTTATCGAATTCTGCCTAATAAAACTCTATGTTCAAAGGAGGAAAGTGATCTGGAGGTAAAAGCTCCAAGGAACATCTCATTGCGCTACTTTGCTGTAAGATGGAAGAACAACTTGAGCAACCGCTTGTAATTAGAAAGGCGAAAACAAGGAGCTTCAAACACATCAATCCAAAAGCTTTATCGGCCCATTAGCATCACAATAAAAAGTCATGAATAAAAAAGGAAATCGTATAATTCCTCTTGATGAAACAATATGTACAAAAAAATAGAAAGATTCTGGTATTTCTTGATAATCTGCCATCCAATTTGCCACCAACCGTAAAATTGAAATCAGTGAAAGTAGCGTTTTTTCCACCTAATGCAACACCTGTAGACCAAATTTATTATTAGAAGCTTCAAAGCTCATTACAGAAAAATATTTTTATGACCTGTTCTTTGTTAAGCTAGCGATTTGTTAAGCAAATGTATTGGATTATTTTCAATAAATTTCTGTAAACACAAAACTCTATTGTTCATTTCATACATTTTTGTAATAATTTAACTTTGTTAATTAAGGATTTTCATTTTTCATTAACTTCAAATTCAAATAAATACCCATGACTATGTTACTTATTCATATATCATTAATTTAAAACTTGATACAACTTGAATTTCTAATGACATTCATTTTTTTTTTTCAGTATGAACCTTCTGAACAAAGGACAAAGGGGAAAAAATGTCTGGTCCGGTAGGTGACCCTTATTGGGAAATACAACTTCATTAACTAAACTTACACGCAATATTAATATTACCATAATTATATAACTCTTATTTATACTCAGAGTTTAGATGCACTATAGTTAAAAGAATACACTAAAGGAGGCAAAAATTACTTTTGTTTGCGAGTGAAATCTGTAACACCAAACAGTAACATTTAAAAGATGTGAATACTTACTATCATCATCCTTGCTGTTCATTTTCGATAGAAGGCCCGTCATATAGGGTGACATGGAACTCCGCCCATTTGTGTGGTTAGAGAAACTGCCCGAATTTGGCACCGATGACGTAGTACCAGGAGATAAAGGGTACATATTATACCGGCTACCACCCTGAAAAAGAAGTGAATTTTACTGAGACTGGTATTGTTTTACACACTGGTTTGCACACAATAGTTCACAAACTGGTTTCGGTGACAGACGATAAATCCCACAGAATTTTCGCCGAGTATCGAAGCTCATCTTAACACAAAATTCGTTAGAATAACACTTGCAATTCTAGATGGACTTGATCCAACGATTTATGTTAGATTTAGAATCCGATTTACAAAATGGCGGACTGGAGAAATGGAACTTTCACCTCATTTATTTCTTTTCAACGTATCATTGACGAGAATTATATTAAGTATCTCACGAAATAATCTGAGAATTAACTATATTTTCATTTAAATTTATTTAAAAATACATTGTACCTTTCTGCATATTTTGTTTTTATTGTTTCAGTTTGTCATGTGTCATATAAAACATGAGTTTAAACATTTTAGACGAGGATCTCGTTTGTTTTTCCCATGGGGAAAAATTGCTTAAAGGGAAGAGCCTATAGAATTCTCACTGAATTTTACTACAAATTAATGAAATTAAAATAACAGAAATAAATCAGTATGATCATGCCTATGATAATAAAAGGACCTTCATGTTCACGTGATATTCTCAGCTTCAGCTGTGGTGGCCATATAATGGTAGAGATAGGCTGTGTAAGTCAGCATTAGTTTATAAATCCAGCCATCTCTAAACAATATCAGAAACCAATAAGAGTGCAAGACTAATGTCTTATTTTTACGTGACATAAATCTGTACCTATGTCTGCTAACACACTGTTGCTAGAAAGATTTAAGTTCAAGTAGCACGTGATGTCAGAACTATTATGATATTTTGTGACGGCGTATGTACTCTAGTTCACATGACCTCTGACGTCATTACAAATCCAGTCTCCATGGTTTCCATAAGTTACGGGATATTATTCAGTTCCAGGTCACTTTATTACGAACATTAGTTTTGACGAGATTTTTAACGCTCTATTGTTCCTTTTCCATTATTTAAATCTTCATTTCCTTTTTAAATTAATTCTCAATTAATTTAGGTTCTTATTATTTAAGTTAATTTGTTCATATCCATTGTTAAGTGTTTTCTTACGACTAGGTACTAATTAACACTATTGAACTAATTAATTTAAGTTAGCAATTAATTTTTTGTATTCACCATTTCTTTCTTTACTTAATGTAAATGCTTTTCAGTTTATTTTCGTTCTGATTGTTGAACTCGTTAGATTATGATTACTAAGAAAAGCTACGTTTTCTTCGCAGGTAAACTTTTTGTAGTGTTAGAAATCTGATGTTACTCTAATTTTTAAATCTCTACAGTTTTAACCACTTAAAAAAAAAAAAAAAAAAAAAAAAAAAAAAAACGTAAAATCTGAGATGATGATGAATTTGGTGGCATTTCCTTTTTTAAAAATTTCACTCGAAAGGTCGATGGATCGTATGGATGCACAACAAACAATAAAGATAGAAAAATTTAATTCATATCTTATTTATGCTATTAAAATATTGTTATGATTTAAGCTTTCGAATTTCACATTTACGTCGTTTGCAGTATTTTTTTGTCTTGTCTGTTTTTTCTTTTTAGCCAATTCTCAGACAAGGATTTTTTAAGCCAAATATTTTGAAAGGTTGTAAAGTTATTATGTTATTTTGAAGCAGGAGACATGAAAATTATGCAGTGCCCTCGCCGTGACTCGAACCTGGGCCTCTTGAATTCACGTCGAGTATGCTTCCAATTACACCACGAAGGCATGCAGAAAGGAGGGAGAACATATATACTCTCCTTTTTAAAGGGCGACTGGGGATGAGGGGAAATCTTGATGGTGACAAGTTATCATCCACCACCGTTTATTTTAACTGTAGAGTCATTAGGAGTAGAACATTTAGTTTTTTTTTCCTATTCTGAAAAATATGCAGTATCCTCGCCGGGATTCGAACTCCGAACCTCCTGAATACGCGTCGAGTACGCTTCCAATCACACCATGAAGGCATGCGGAAAGGAGGGAGTCAATACCTTATAAGATGATTGTGAATTTTTTTCATATTACCCATAATTCACATTTTAGCCAACACAACAACTATAATTTGACTTCAACTTTGCAAGCCTACTCATAGATCACCAAAAGTAAAGCAAATAATCAAACACGTGAAAACATCTACGACTGGTGCCGAAGACCAAGGAGGTTAGAATAAATGGAGTAAGCCTACCCCGCATGTCCCGCATGGAGGTAAGAATGAACTTCCTACCTACATGATAACCCGTGCAATAAAAATGAAGCCGCGAGGTTTTGCTACATTCTCTGTGTTGTTTACACGTTAGCTACTCGTCACTGAATGTTTATAAGTCTACCGTTCTAATTTTAATGCTTAACATAAAATATTTTCTTCTTAGTATAGAAAAACATAATGACTGAAAATAACTGTTCCAAATTTAATAAAATCTAGGTACATAAAAATGTGTAAATGATAACTATAAGAGTATATATATGGTTAAAAACCTAGAAAAGAAGTAAAAAAAAAATAACGGTACTTTATACAAATTACGCCTATAGACACCTTTCTGAGCTTGCGTACATTGCTATTTGCTCCTCAAAGTTAGTGTAATGGTATTCAACAATATGTTTCGTACTCTTATTTGTATGCTACAGGGCAACCATGGTAAGTCGTGACGTCACGTTGTTGCCATTTTCTTGGCTTTATTTTTGCGACGTCATGCTTTCTCAATCTATTCTAACCTCCTTGCCGATAACCAGATTCTTTTTTGAAAACTGAGCGCAGGTGCGCTCTGTTGCCAATTTTAATTTAAGTCTAAATAAATTATTACTTTTTATTATAAATTAATTTTTATAGTTACTTTACGCTAACATAAATGCATTTTACGGATATAGTAAAAATTTTCAAGTAGCAAAAGAGCAGCATAAAAATATATGATGGAATAGTACAAAATTCGCAGAATCGCGTAAGCGTAAAATTTAATACCGCAGATTTATGAATAGTAGTAAATTTGTGAAAAATCGCACTACCTAGCAATACTTCCCATACTTATGCTGATGCCATTTTTTTGTAGTTTTTCTTTTTATAAGAAAGGCTGCATTTCTTAAGTTAGGCTTAGAGAAATTTTAAATTTACAATTTTAAGGAAAGATAATAGAATTATTCCTAATTATAGCAGATCACAATGAAAAACTTATGCGCTGACTTACATACGTGTTACAGAAACAAGATCGTTTTGGATATCTTTGGTTCCTGAAACATAAAACTCCGTAAATTCATTCTTTCCAACAAAAACAAAAGTCTCGCAGAAACAAAGAAGACAGAACTGAACTGCAGTTATAATTCGAGAAAATTAGGCCGGAATGAAAATTACCATTTTGATAACCTGCATCAATCAAACTGAAATGATCGATGCTTTTCTACAGACCTCCGATCGATAGAATTGAAGCACAGAAACAGGTCAAGGAATCGATAATATAATCGGCAACCACCTCAGTTATCATGCCCAAGTTAACAGAACTGTAACATTTACTTTTACAAACGAGTCCTCATGAATAAATGATGAAGAGGACACACACTGGGATAGATTTTGCGTATTGTTAGTGCCCCCTTCGCAGAAGGTTTCTCGGCTAATTTTACTTTTAATGATGTCATTCGAACGCAGTCCATTGTTCTTAGCTTTCATAAGACACAGAGAAGAGGATTTTAAAGAGGAATCCATTTGCAAGAAGCTTTCAAACGAAAGTGGAATATGAGATAAGTCTTGAGCAAACGAAGGTGACAGAGCTTTTTTAAGATACAGGAGGCGTTTTTAAAAGAAGTAAGGAAGAAGATATTCAACGGACATTTCCACAAAAGGTCTCTTAAGACTTAAGATAGCGTTTCTGAATTGCAAATGTTAAGGTTATTTTACACTTCTGAAGATATAACCAGCATATACTTTTGATCATTTGTATTCTTCTACAAGTATTTTATGTAGTACTTGCATATCAACATTCAATTACTCACTTTCGCTTTTCGAATAGAAAAATGCTGAGTAAGGAAAAAACGCGATCTAAAACTGGTTTTGAGGATAAGATTCTTTTTCTCAATATTTTTAAACTTTTTGATAATTTTGTTCATATTTTATGGATTCTACTAACGCTAACTTTTTAATATTTCAAAGAAATATTATTCTTTCTATTTTTGGAGAAGAGAGGAATAAAAATTATAATATTATAGTATTTATCAATGAAACAAAAACAACTATTTAAAAATAACAGGCACTTATCGATATGCTTCAACTGAAGCAATAAGTTATGTAACTTAGAGATCATTAGGAATGACATTTTATTACGGAGCACCAGACGTGAAAAATGTGCCGTGTCCTCGCCAGGATTCGAACTGCGGACCTCCCAATTGCTAACCGATGTGCTTTCCAATTAAACCACGAAGGCACGCGGTAAACAGCGAGAAAATATCTTATAATCTGCTGTCGGGTTAAAAAATAAAACAAAAGTATTCTAATGAAAATAACGAAGTTCTGAAACAACATGTAAAGAGACACATTCCATACATTTAAAAAATTATTTAAGAGGTAAAAAATTGGTTTTAATAAGCAGAAACAATGGACAGAATTTTGGTTTTATTGGGAAACTGATACTACTTTCTTTTAATAAAACAGTTTTAATTGCAAATTTACTTAGGACAAATTTAGTTCTTCTGACTAAAAAAAAACATGACGTACAATATTTAAAGCAAGTTGAAGATTTAATTAACTTTTGAATACATTAATCCCTAAACTAAGTATTGTATTTTGATTATAGTATATAATTTAGCACAAAATACAAAAAATAACTGTAAATGATGCAAATAAGATAATTCTTTTAGAAATATAATCAGAAACTCGATTTAAGCATATGAGACAAGTAAAATCTAATTTTTGGGGATAAAATTTTACTGCGAGTGAAAACTAGTCCTTGCAACTTTCAGTTTTTTAATATACGTAAAGCAAAATTAATCGTAAATCGAAATTTCCATGGCAAAAAATAATAGTTTACCTGTGGCACTGAACTTGGCGACGTTGGCTGAGAATTGGTATTTCCCGCTGCTGCCGAGGCGATCGCAGCCGCCATGAAAGCACTGCCACTTGGTGTAGCATACGTATTCTGTCCCTCTGGATCGTCCGATGACCTTTGCAGCATATAGGATGCTAACTTCTCCGATTTTGTCGACCGGATGGAGTTCGACCTCGACAACCTTGGTGACGATGCCAGCTCTCTTTGGTGAAGCATGAGGCGAGCGTGGGTCAGGCTGTTGGCACGGGCGTGCTGGATCTGCAGCAGAGAAAAAAGGGTGAGATTATGTAAAGAACGATGACTCTGATTCGGAAAAGGAGGTTCAGAAACAACAGCGATAACTCTGATGGAAAAAAAAAAAAAACAATGAACACCTGGCAGAAAAAAAAAAAAAAAGCAGCACCGTGTTAATCAAGTCTTTTAAACCAGATACTACTGCATGCGGGTTTGGAAAGAACATCCAATAGGTGTCATCGAGCCTCTTAGCATATAGGGGTTTCGGAAACTGGAGTTCATGAAGGTTTCTTTTTCGTTGCACTTGGCTCAAAATGTATGTAAACATGGTATCCTTGACAAATATATCGGAATTTTCAAACGTATTTGTTAAGTTACAGTTGAATGTGAAGAATCTTAAGAACTAGTAAGCGAATAATCGCTTGAGTTCGTGCGACAGTAATTAAACTGGGAAAGGGTTAAAAGACTCTTTATTATTCAAATACGATTTAACAGAACTTCGTCTTGGAGTTTTACAATAAAGCCGAAACTCGGCCTTCAACTTAGGAAACTAAGAATTAAAACTTAATTAATCTTAACTAAAAAGATATGGCCGAAGATATCAAGATTCTAACGGAGTTGGTCCCTTAATGCTAATTGACTGCGAAGCTATTAAGGGCCTAAAGTACGGCCGAGCGTAATAAGCTTAAGAGAGAGAAGCCTAAAAAGGCGGACGCGTGCTAGCCAGAATCTCTGGTTATCTCTGACTAAGACAGTAGAACTTCGTGGTTAAATACCGCTCTTCCTCAATTTGCATTCAAACGTGATTCTAAAACTATGTTGTGGCCGGAAATGGTAAGCTGAAATTAAGAAGCGATAAGAAAGGAAGTTTAACTCAAAATTTAACTGTTAATAAAATTAACATAATCCTAACAATTTAAATTTTTATAAAAGTTATTCGGAAAATTTTAAGGTAGGAGAAGAAAATGCAAATCCATATTTTTAAAGTTTTATGCTGTATTACGGTTCCCCTGTCACCTTAGAAATGACGTTTGCTTAAACCGATTATATTAATTTTGAAACATCTATGTTATTTGAAACCGCGAAAAAAGACTTTTTGTTCAGTCTTAATCGAATTTATCCAAAATTTTACTATTAACATATTCACGTCTTTGTTAACTTCACAGCTTTATTTCCACAAACACAAAGGGCCCACCAGCGGCCGAGCGGTAAAGTCGCTGAACACTGGTAGTTCGATTCGAGGTTCGAATCCCGCGAACGGGCTGGCGGCATGGGCGTTTCGTGGTTTTCCCCGTGTGTAACGAGTATACGAGCGAGTTTCCCTTAGAAAGTCCTCCACGAAGGCATCCCTCATCTTAGGCAGATAGCCCTCGAGGCTTTGCCATAATCACACACACACACTCCACAAACACAAAACATTTCAAATTATAAACAAAATGCATGCTCGACCTTGGATAACCGCTATTTTATTTATTAAAAAATGCTACAATGCGCTATTTCGTAAATTTTATTTTCCGTGTGTCTTCCTGATATATTGTATATTTTGTTAAAATTATATTTGTTTAAAAACTAAATAATACGCACTTTAATTTATCGACTGAACTAATAATTAATAAATAAAATAAAAAGTGTCACATTATCTCATATTAAAAAGCTCTACAATGAAATAATACTCAAAATTTTGATTAAAACTTTCATTTTTGTACTCGCTTAATGTCGAGATAATATTTAATCCACTTAAGATAAGTACTCGTAGCTCATATGTAATTTATAATGTTTTCGGAATAATGCAGATATGAATACTATTCAAAAACGTTGAAAAAGGGGACCTTCAATTATTAGAAAAAAAATCCATAGTCACGAATATACAAAAGAACCCCGAAAGTCTAGAAAAGAAAATACCCTGTAAGTGAAAAAGCTCACGTATAAAACCCTATCACTCAGTTCTAGCAAATTATATCTAGCACAGTATTATTGATTGCAAGGTCATTTTGATATCCTATGGCAGATTTACTTAAACTTATTGTTCTAGAGGTAGCTTTAAAATTTTTTTTATGATGCTACGGAACACCTGCATAAAAATACAGTTTACGGTATATACATTTTATCAATAAATTATAGAACTAATAATAAAAAAAATAATTCGTAACGCTATTTTGAATAGAATGTCTTTGAATGGATTTGTTCATTTATATTGTTCTGAGAATCATCTTAATATTAAAATACTCGGCCTAGCTTGAAAATCTATTAACTATTTTGAAAGTGCAAGATAAAAGTGTTAAACACAGGAAGGTTAACTAACGCAATCCCCTATGAATGTACGTACGTTATGACTTCGAACCTATCAAGGTTATTTAAATAGTGAACCCTCTTGTGGCGACCATTTCTGACCCGATACTTGTAAAAGCGTAAACATTAGTAGAAATCATCGCCTCTCTAAGACGACCATCTTCCCAGAAGACGAAACACGCATGGAAACGTGGTGATCGTTCTTAAAATTTGTTTCCTACATAAAGATGCTATATTAAGAAACAAACATTCAAAGAAACTTTAAAGTCGTTGAAAAATCATTTTACATTTCAGTAACTATTCATGTGTTTTTAAACAACAAATGAACATTATAGTCTTCACGCGAAAAAGGAATTCTTTTTAAAACTATTTCTTCCATGTACTTTATCAAGATGTGTAATTTTTAGCAATGTAAAGTTGCATAAGCACCTATCTAGTCGGGTGAAATAAAAGCCATACAAAACTAATATAACATAATCGAGTTATGAAACTAAGAATTTTTTATTTTATGGAAACGTACCAATTCTTTATTTCTCTACGATACTAAAACTTTAATGGGAAAAAATTTTCTGTAAAAGCAAGAGTAGCCTCTTAACAGTTACAGACTAATAAAAAACATGTTCTAAATTTTATTCGAGTTCATTTTTGCAGGGTTCCATTGTGAGAAGGAAATATTACTTTTAAGAGTTGCTTAACACACACCGGTTAAAATAAGACAGATTTAATATTCAGCATTAAGAAAGAGGAATTTTATATTAGGAAAGGAGAAATTATTAAATATTTCAGCGCTTGTCACCTTTACATATTCCCTTAACTTTTCTCTAGAATTGAAATCTCCTTAATCAGATAATAAATTATATTTTATAGTTTTTTCACGCTCAGTATCTATCCAGATTTAGGTACTGATTTTAATTCTAAGCTTGTCTTTTTTTCCAAATGATTTTAAAAAGTTACTTTCTAAATTTATTTTCTATTTTTCTCAATAGAAGAAGCTACTATTGCTGGTTTCTTAATTAATTATATATATATTTATCATATTGAAGCAATGTATTATTGATAAAATGGTATAAAATATTTGCTTACAGAACTAAAACTACCTACTGCATAAAGGTTTAACAAGAAACTACTTGTAGCATTTTTTCAACATTTTGCTACATTCTTGTAGCAATATTAAGGGGAAAAAATACGTATTTGTAGCATTTTTTCCCCTTAATATTGCAGTAAATTCTTCGTATATTTTACTTTCTTATTTCGTAGTCCCTTTTTATATACTGCAGTGAATTCTCCAAAAATTCTATATACTGATTTTTAAGCAAGAAAGTTGCCTGCTTACTGGCTTTCATATATCGAACAGATTTACATTTATGAGTGTTTTCTTGACTTAAGACTAAGCATGGCGAAAATAATGAAAAGCATTTTGATCATAATATCTACCAGAATACAAACTACATCGATTAGCAGCTTATATAACATGAAAATATCACTCATAGTTTAAATGTCATTTCTTTAAAAGCATTCAATTTATTTCTTAATTCATAATTCTAGCACTATCAGAATGAATGCAATTATTTCAATACAAATGTAATTTTCAGCTCCATGTACCATAAATCTTCCTAAACTGTAAGTCCCGAAAGGAAAGACAGTTTATATTCTTTATTCAAACGATGAAATGAGGAAAAAATATTCAAACAAATATTTTCTGACATCTTTTCACAGATGCAATTTTTTCATTATGGGATCATCAATACAGTTAAAATAAAACACAACGATTAATTTACAATGCTTTATAAAATTCACTTTTAAATGGAGTATAAGAAGTGTTCCTCAAAGTGGTCGATATACTTGGGGCATATGATTTGTCCATGCAGGGATTAGGCATGAAGAGTATGGCAGAAGGCTTTAGGTTTTACATGGACAGTGGCACCAGCAATAATTTTATACTGAATATCACAAGTTTAAACATAAATTATTTACCTAACAATTTGAATATGCTACATATAAAATATTATAACACTCTATTCTTCCTTGTTAATTAAAAGCATTTTCAAAATCACTTTTAGTGGAGTGAGGTTTTAGTACTGTATATCAGTTTTACATTAAACAAATTGCCTGTAAAATGTTGGATAAGATTTTAGAAAATTTTAACAGCTTTTAAGTCTAGTTAAGTTAAAACCTAGTTAGCATAAAGGCCTAGTTAACCTAGTTACACAGCCTAGTTAACTTAAGGCTATTTATTCAAGCTAAGAAAATATAAAAAATCACTGTTTTTCATTAATACTTATAGATCTCATTTATTAGCAACACTTCTGAAAATTTACGTTCAGGACAGAACAAAATATTTAAAAATTGCAGGTTGTAAACAATGTGTTTAGACAAATAACCCATCATGAAAGTAATTACATGCTAATGATTCTATATTACAAATCTGACTAATTTGACAGGCGAAAACATAGACTTCTAGGTTACTCTGTGTTTAATTAATTTAATCCGTTAAATTAATAATAATCTAATAATTAATCTGCTTAATTAATTTTCACCGCCGAACCTGCGAATTAATAAAAAAATTTTCAGTTATATATAAGCCTGCGAATTAGGAAAACAAAATAAATTTCGGGTACAGATTAGCTATACGAAACCTTCCTGGTATTTAGAAAACACTCTGGACACACTTGGTACTACATTCTTATTTTTACAACGCCAAGTATTACGTAGATCCTGTAAAACTAGTTTCTTTGTATACATATGACATAAGCAGTGAAGCAAATTAGATGCTTTCATTAATATGAGCATGGACAAGTGAATTCTCTTCTGGAAACCACCCCTGAAGGTGACCAGTATTTCTGAGAACAATATCCATATTCCTCTAAGACGACCACTTCTACAAAAGACCAAAATAATATGAAACAATGGGTGATCACTTTAGAAAAAGAACTCAGATTTTTTTTTCTTTATAATCTTTTTTATTCGCTTCCCCCCCCCCCCTTTTGACTATCTATGTTTTCTGGGAATTATATTGAAACTTTATGCAGACAGATCTGCAACTTTATTTTCGTCGTTTAGTAAAAAAAAAAAAAAAAAAACTGGTCGAGTGATATCGCAAGTTTGCATTTCATTTTTAAAAAACGATTTTTAATAGTTCTCATGTCATTATAGCGTAAAAGATACCAATAAAACAATGAACTGTTTAAGTAAGACATATATAACACATATATCTACTATAATTCTACTATTATTCCAGCATTTGCTACCAGTCTTCAGATCGCAAAGCCATCTACATTAAGTCACGAAAAACATTTTAAAAAGCTTATTCTTTACGACAAATAAATTTTAATTCTGTCGTTTAAAAATAACAAAAGAAAAATATGAATAATTAATTACACAAATCTGAAGTTTAATGCGGCAGTTCTACGGTATGTATATTAAAAAACGTGTATTTTGCGTTTGCATCTAAAATAAATATTTTAACAACATATATTTTCAAATTTAATATATTTTATGATTTAAAAAATATAAAAAATGATTCGCAATACCACGTGTAAATTGGTGCAAGTGTATGATGCATTAATTATGGATTTCAACAAATCTAATAGCAAAGGAAATTTTTTTACAATCGCATTTAACTTCCCATGTAATTCTCTTCTTGAACTTTATGATAAATCGATCTATATAAAGGTATACATGATGAATGGGCCATGTTAACTCTTAAGTGTCTTTGATCGATTAGTAACCGCCCACAGCATGTAAGCAGAAATTCAGCAACTGATTGGTACATTATGAAGTTCCCAGTTTATGACTAAAACATAAATATCCCATATAGTATTAGATTAATTCGAGTAGCATATGTTGTAATATTTAAGGAAATTTAAGAATTTTGGAAAATAATGCTTTGCTGTGGGTTATTCTAATTTGTAACAAAGGTATTAAAACCATTTTTCTTAAGAGGATTCTCATAGTTATTATTCTAATAGTTATATTCTAATAATAACTGTGCATTATTCTAATTTGTAGCAAAGGTATTAAAACCGTTTTTCTTAGAAGGCATTTTACAGCAAATCTTTTACAAAGATTTGAATATGTGCTTTCAGTTGCAGCAATCCCTTTATTAAAATTTTAAGTATAAAAATTCCGATAATCATATTTTAAATTAATAAGGCAATTCAAAAGCTGCAAGAACATTTTTAGATATCCATATTACGTTTCAGTGTTCAGTTCAGTTCAGGGCGATACAATAGTTTTTACATGATTTTATTTAAATTGGTTTCTGTCTTTCTTTATTTTGGAAAGTTTTTAAAATTTTACAGCAAATCTTTTACAAAGATTTGAATATGTGCTTTCAGTTGCAGCAATCCCTTTATTAAAATTTTAAGTATAAAAATTCCGATAATCATATTTTAAATTAATAAGACAATTCAAAAGCTGAAAGAACATTTTTAGATATCCACATTACGTTTCAGTATTCAGTTCAGTTCAGGGCGATACGATAGTTTTTACATGATTTTATTTAAATTGGTTTCTGTCTTTCTTTATTTTGGAAAGTTTTTAAAATTTTCAAAACCTCTTCTATTGCATCGAATTTCTTCACATTTTTTACACATATGTATTTGTGACGACAAACAATACAATCACTTATTCAGTACAGACTATTTTAATTTTCAAGCGACCTTTCATACATGTTTTGCACATGCCCTTGCTTAACGATCCAGAATTTCGATTTTTACATTATCGGATAGATCGGACAATAATTTTCGAAATGAAGTTTTTTTCGGCTCAAAATCTACGGATGGATTACTTATAATGTAATGGAATTTAAATTAAAATTGTCAAAGAGAAATTTAAATGAGTGTAATCTTATATCATCGGATAGATCGGAAGATCTTTGAAAAGGAAGCTCCGTCGTGTGTTTCTTTCGTATGCTGATTAGAAGTAATACATTTTTAACATTCAAAAGTAGTAAATTTTTGTATTATTTTCCCCTTTATGAATTAAAAAGTATAAAATAAAATATATGATTTTTAAATAATTGCAGAAAAAGTTTAAAAAAATTTAAAGCTGTGACAACATTTTTTCCTCACATACAACTGAAAATAAAATCCTGGTATGCCCATCACAAAGCATTTGGACTTGAACGTATTTGGAAATTTAAAATAATTAGAAATGATAGCAGCGATATAGCACATAAAAGACTGGTAGCATTTAATTCATTTTTAAATATCCGCTTGACAAGTTTGATTTAAATTTCATCACTGCTTGCAACACATGATTTTAATTTTAGTCATATTCGACTAAACATGTTGTGATATCAGAAAACATTTTTCCTTAATTCACTTAATTAAAAGGTGTCAATTCGAAATCTCTTTTAAATATATTTTATTTATGAACTGAATAGTTACTAATTTCAGTGTGAAAATTAATCAACCTTTCGATTAGAATTGCTCATTTATTCTGTACTGAACTGACTCAAAATGCATTATTTAAAAAAAGAATAAGTTAACATATCATGTAAAATAAATCATTCATTAAAAAGACATTCTGTTCAAAATATTACTGCCAATGACTGTTATATTATTACATCTACACAAATTAAGGTATCGCTACCTGTAAACACTTATTTTAAAGCAGCTTTCTCTACGCAACCTGAAAAATATTTCAAATGCTTTTTCAGCATTGAAAATTTCAGAAATGCTGATTTATGGAAAAATGTGGATTTCTTTGAAAGAGATATCTAGTGCATACTTAACAGCATATTCAAAAACTGAAGAGGATTTTGAGGAATCAATTTTATCAGTTACAAATAAAAATTTCGAAAAAAATGTTATCTTGTTTTATACGGAATATTACGAAAATTTAAACTACTTCAAGATGACTATGAATTATAACTCGCACTTCATTAAATTTTACGGAATACTCGCATTTTATAGCCATAGATTAACTCAAAGAAATTTAAATCAGTGGTTTCAGTGGAAGGGAAAAATATCAGCTCAGTTAAATATTTACAAAAATTAATAATTCATTACCTATATACCGTATTTAAGCAGTTTCATCATGCTAAGTATTTAAGCATTATGAAGTAAAGTGTACTTTATATTAAACAAGAATATGCAATTAATTGTTCATTACACAATTTAACGAAATATTACCCACAATAACTTTTGTTAAAGACAGAATTTTTTTAAAAAAACTTTTGCTTGTTTTAATGCTTCCATTAGATAAACGCTTAAACTAAAAATATAGAGTTAATTGTTTATTACACGAAATATCAAAAGGCAATATGTTTTGACTACTGATGTATTCTTCATACAAATAACAGAACTGCTAGCATAGTGAATGTTTCTTTAAGAATACATAAGGTATTTAGAAAGAAACGGAGTAGCTTTAACATATATTGATATCATAGATCTACAACAATATCATGACACAAGCAAATAGGCAGATCAAACGCATCAGAGAGAAATTCATGCAAATGGAAAGGTAAATATGGAAGCGTGCAGATTCTCACCTGTGCGTGTATGCTGGAAGACGTGGATGACAATGACTCCATGCTGTCCGCTTCGGTCAATGTCCCACCCCTGCCCCCCGTTACGGAAGTGCCACAGCTGGGACTATGCCTCATCCACGAGTAAGGGCCGTGCTCTAATGTGGCATAATTATCCATATCTCTTAGGGGGGCGGAAAGCCGGGGAGCTCTACTCCCCAGCATCATGTAGTCAGAAAGGGGTGTAGGTGACCCGTTCAGTATAGACCTGCTGCCATACACTCGTTCTTTTAGTCCTGTGCCAGGGCCCGGGGTGGTCATAAAGTACTGTTTGGGGGGCGGGGGCGGATACTTCCGCCCCAGCGAGCTGTACTCGCTGTCGGAGTGCACCGCGGGGCTATACAGGTCGCTGGTGTTGGTCTGCGTGCTGCCGCAGACTTTGACTTTGCTGCCGCCCTTGCGCGATGCTGGCGGGTGATGGTGATCGACCGCGGGGCGGCGCTCTGTACCGGCGTAGCACTGCGACATTTCATCGGCAGGGGCGCGCTCTATATCGCCGATTTTCTCATCCGCGCCCTTCTTGCTATTACTGGCACAGGAGGACGATGGCGCGGAGGAACGGTTATTGCTACCTTGTTGTTTGCCGCCGTTACCGTTGTAAGCATTACTGGTACTAGGCGCTCTCTTGCCATAGGGTGGGGCGGCTGGGGCTGCTCCGGTTGCCGTGGAAACCGCAGCGGAGGAAGAGCGAGAAGTCTTGCGGCTGCCGCTACAACTGCTGCCCGCAGGTTCCAGAGATTCACAGCTGCCACCTTTCGAGGAGGACTGCTTTAGCTGCTGTTGGCACTTACTGGACGTGTCATAATCCGGATGCCTATCCGGTACGACAGCAAGTTTGTGTTTGGACCGGTGCGAATCCGGATTGCCGCCCTTCTTTGATTCAGGGTTCTTGACAGATTTCTTGCTGCTTTTGTCCGATTTGACAGACTGGACATCTTGTTGCTGCTGTTGTTGCTGTAGAAGGTATTTTTTCCAGGATGACGATGAAACATGATGGAATGCACTAGTCTCAGTCTGCATGGAACTGTCAGTTTTCTTCACATGTGCCTGTTTTGATTTCGAACCACCCGGACCGATGGCGGGCTGCTCTTCTCCAGCCTAAAAATATTTAAGAAGATATTGCAGTAAAACAATCAGTCAGAATATTAAAAAAAATGAGAGAAATAAATAATTAATATTTTAAGCAAAAATCAAGCAAAATATAATATTAAGGGAAATTAATTGGTTTCGAAATCAGTACATATACTACCGATCCTGGTAAGTGTGATAAACATTATCATAACTGATCACTTTCTTATTTGAAAGTAAAATTGCATAGTAACGCAAAAAGGAAAGTGAATTAATTGTATATTGAAACAGAATTTTAGTATCACGTCGGAAAGTATTAGAACCAAGCCAAGCCTCATTCCTCATAACATGAAATTAGAAATTTAAGATAACCTGAACCAAGACAGTTGATATTAAGTCGTGCAGAACTTTACGATGTGAAAAGGTAGATAAGTGTATTTACATATAACGTAAAATTTAAATTTTGATTAAATATTTCACTCACCATTATAAGCAAATTATAACTCAGCTGCTTATACTATGGCTTTCAAATCGACAATGCATAGCAGATACACACTGACACATTTTCATAGCATTAAAATTAGCAAATTTAAAAGAAAAAGTGAAATTTTCAGTTTCTTAAATTTAAAAATATTTATTGCAAATCAAATACTACCAAATATTGCTGTAAATACTACCAATATTGCAATCCAATTAAAATTAAATATTACTGAAAATTAAAATGATTATAATTAACACTTTTTAAAGTTCTTTGATGGTATTGTGTAGTTTATAATCATTCTTTTAATTCCTGCTCTAATTTTCCGAAGGCAAGCAAATCAAATTGGGTAAAAAAATCTAATAAAAATGTTAATATAATTTTGCTACTAGCACATTAATTAAAAATGCTAAGACTGTGAAATAAAACTGTCACGATAAAAGAAGAGCTAATTTAAAGATTGCAGTTAAAGCTATGCTTCTTTCATTGAAAGTAAAAATATTAACAGGTTTGGTGGGTATTCATGTTCATAAATCTATTTACAGGTAAAAATATTAATGTGAATTTTGTTTCCGTATATAGGAGTATTTTACATATTACCCTGATGGGTTTTAGTCCATATCACATTACTTTTTAAAGCTCCTCTCACTCTCAGAAAAAAAAAGTTACAAAAAATGAAAATATATCCCTGCTGTATATATTTTACATGAAAAAGGAAAAGAAAAAATCGGTAATTTTGCTTATTAAATCAGACCTAATTCATTTTAAGTAACAATAACAAGAAAAATAAAAAAGCATTAATTAATTAATTTTTTCAGATGTTTATATTTGCAATCAACATGGTATCTAAAAATTCTTTCGAATTTTTGCTTTGACTTGTGGAACTTCTACAGAAACTGCACGGAAGCCCACAGTTTAGTAGAATAAGTCTGAAAACCGCTGCCTCAATCACTTTTAACACGCAAACTCAAGTTATGTTACGTACTTCAAAGATGATTGAGGTAAAAACTTATTTCCTCAATCATCTTTAATACGCAAAATTGGAGCTAGCAAATACCTATATTAGAATACACGAATTTTTAATATTCAGACTTTGAATTTACAAAGAATTTCATGGAGAATCAGAATTTATCAAAATATACATAATGCACCGAAAATATAAGCTTTAAATTAAATCCGAAACCAATAAACAAAATCAAAAATTGCAATCAGATTTCAGCTTAATACCAGACTAATTAAAAAAATTTCTGAGCTGTTACAACCTAGCCATAGAAGCAGTGCTTTCTAAATTCTCGGATTTGGCAGTTTTCGACCAGGATAGCAAAACATACCTTTCGGCTTTTGTCCGAGTTGGACGCCGTGTTTGGAACGGAAGAAGCCGTCTTGGAATGACTAGTACTCAGTTTCTGATTCCTCTTTAGACTTCCGTAGACGTTGTTGTCTGAACTTACTGATGAGCCGGTCAAGTTGTCGTCGGTGCTCAGCTCTGGAAAAGTGTCACTCACGCCGCTACTCACGGAACTACTGTCATCAAAACTGTAAAAAACAAACATAAATCATTTTTTAGAGAACCATTAAAGAAAAGCTTAAAATTTTTTAGAAAAAATTGTTCTTTCAACAAAATAAGAATACATTTAACGTATTAAAAGCTCCAATTCATCTTAAGACTTTTAAAGAGCTCGGTACTTTTCCTCCAGCTTATTAACGTAGTTAACATTACTGCTTTGGGTAAAATTTCGATAAATAGTTCCTAGATTATGTATTTAAAAATTTGATGCGGACACCACATAATTTCCTAGCACGGCCTATTAAATTATAGGCATTTTTTGCTGCATTTCATTTAAACTTGAATTCAGTTCTCGCTTTGCGACAAGGCAAAACTACATAAAAACTCAAATATCTTCATTGAAAATGGAAAGATATAGAAAAACATAAAACGTCAAATACAGTTAAAACAATTGAAAAAACAATTTTTACAATTAAAATTACAGTTTTACGCAAAAACAAGCAATTCGCCAGCAGGCAAGAGGCAGATTTTTTTTTTTTTTTTTTTTTTTTTGGTGCACAAAAATAAGTTTCGTGCTGGTCCCACTCGGCAAAAAACCACTGAAGGTGCACAAAGACTTAATTCACTATTCTGCTAAATTTCAAATGTAAACAAATATGGTTGCTATGGCTAAAAAAGATTAGGCTTAGCCGCACTTAAACAACTTTTAAATTGTTGATAATTCTAGAACTATTGCATGCAGATTAACTAAAGGCATAAAAACTTTAAGCACCGGAAGATAAGAACAATATAATTCAATCATTTTTAAAGCAAAAAATGTACAATTTACCGACATATAAGAATAAAATGTTGAGCGCCCTGAGCCGAGCAGTATAGGAAGTATGTATATACTATATACTTTTGCTGCGGCCGATTGCAACCAAAACGGGAGGTGCATGTCATAGCAGTCCTATATACAAAATTTCAACGTTCTGAGGCTACTCGTTTTTGAGTAATGCGAGATAAGTACGTACGTACAAACACCACGAAAAAAATCTCTTCTGAATCCATTTTAAATCAGTTTTTTAATTCGTTTGGGAAGAAAGAAACCTTATTCTATCCTTACATACAGATGTCACGCAAAAACATCGTTAAATCGCGTTCGATAGCGGCCAAAATAAATATTTTCGTTGAAATATGAAGCCCGGAATTTTTCATTTTACCCGGAATTTTTCATGCTTACAATAATTCCTTTACTTCGTACGAAAAAGAAAAAAAAGTATTAAAATTTGAATTAAACATCTTTTTAAATAAAACTTCAACGGTTTTTACGCATAATAAGTATTCGATAGCATCCAGATGTGCATAAAACAAAGCTACACATTACTGCTATTACCTTCAAAATTACAAGATTAATAAATATTCAAAAAAATAAATCTTGAATTATGCAATTAATGTTCGTTATATGAATTCCTCGCGTTCTAAAGGAAAAAAATTTCATATAGTCTCATGAGCTGGGATCTTTTTGCACCAGCCGTTGTAATGGAATGAAAGCTATAATGAGCGGTCATTGCCACAAGCATGGACTGTAGTTTTAAAATACTTAATTATTTCAATTTGTTTTTAAAGAAAGAATTTCTTTTTGATAGCGGTGTACATAGACAGTTTATTTACAGCCCTACATAAAATGCCAGTTGAATTTTGTAAAAAAGGGCCACCCGTCTCTTCATTTCATTTCAATTATATTTTTAAGTGATGGCCTCATTAATAAAGTTAATATCTCCCTCGCCTTGGCTTGTCAAAATTTTTCCGTTTTCACGCTACAATAATTAGATTACATATCTTTTCTATATCTTAAAATTTATTGGCAGACAGAAAGTTGCCTTTTAAAATTCTTTTTTTCCGAAAAGAAATAATAATAAGAACGAAAGTCTTTCTACGCGAAGGCAGGGGATGTATGCATAAAATAAAACTCATAACCGAATGCCTGTCTTTCCCACTTGCATGACAAAAAAAGAAGGTCTGTTGCGGAGGTCTTAAGCACATTTTGTTTTGTTAATCCTTCTCGCTTTGTTCTTCGGCTCCTCAGATGTTAGTTTTTTCTTTTATTGACTTTCGTTTCGAGGTTAAGTACTCAGATGTTGTGATAAACGATAAAAAATGGATCAATATCATAGTATTCCTCGTAATTATTGTGTCATTCGTCCTCCTTTTTTTTAATTTTATTTTTCCCTCTCTTCTATTCACCTCTGTTATTATACGAAGGTCATTGTCTCTTCCAGGATGAGTCATCGAATAATTTTGTTTTTCTTTGCTCTTGTGTTAATCATTCACAGTAACATTTAACTTGAAGGTGTTCAGCTGGATAAATATTATTGATAATTAAATTAACAGCAGTAACGTATTAATATAATTATAAAATATATATTGCAATAAATTAATAATAACACATTAACTGTTATTATTATATATATATATTTTTAAGTGTTTCGTCCACTATTTAGCTATTTGGCTGATCCGGAAAGCCCAGTGAATTTTCTATCCTTTCATACTGCACAGCCAGTTTCCAGGCTTTCGCTATAGTAGCAAATTTCTCCTCAAATAAACTATATAAAACAATACAGGACCAGAGTTTGTTCGTCTGCTATACAGTATGCATGTGAAACTTCATGTGAATGGATCTGGAAGTTACTGAGATACTTTTCCATATTTTCTCCCAGAGGAATAACATGGGAAAAGGATTTTTGTTTTACACTATGCAGATTCAGTGTGATTTAAATTTTATGTATTACTGTCATCGAATTACGTTATGCAGTTTTTTTTTAATGCTGATTATATTTTCTGAAACAACAACAACAGCCTTAAATTTATTACAGTGACCCTGCAAAACAGACATCATGCAAATATTAAAAGATAAAGTAAAAAGTGCAATTAAATATTCACTTTTAAAAAGGGCATTTATTTATGTGCACAGTTTTTTTTTTTTTTTTTTTGCGCTTTCAACGCTGATCTGATTTACGTAACCAAATGAATTCGTTCTGTAGATTCAATGATTGTTAACAGCATTTTTCTGTTAACTACAGTATCAGTTATTCCTCTTCCCTGTGATTTGACATCAGTTCCCATATTATCTTAATAAATCAACAGTTATATATTTGCATACATCTATTTATAAATTTTTAATATGAAAATCATATTTAGAAATCTGATTTCAAAAATTTGTATGCAAGTAAAAATATTTCCATTCCGTCCGAGAAAAAGTATTTATAATATTTCGGATAATTTTCATCTCAGGAGGATAAACGTTTTTATGTTCGAGTTATTTGGATATAGGACATATTTTCCTCATTAACAATTATCTTCATTAGTATATCAAAAGGAAATTTAAATTTTATACTTTTAATAATACGACCAAAGTTATCATTAACTGAAAGCCTAACTTATTTGATTAGTTTCTTGAAAAAGAACCGTATGTTAACGACCAACTATTCAGAAGATATTTAGCTGTGCTCTCTTTTTGAAAAATTCTTTCCATTTAATATAAATAGTCCTAAAAATCTCGCAAGAGGATAAGAAGAAAAAAGGTAGGAGCTCTTCACAAAACAAATGGAAAAAGTTCAATCGAAAGCTAAAGCTAGATAAATAGTTTACACCATTTTTCCTCATCCGTCAAGGAAATACTACATCATGACTCGCAGTGACGGTTATGGATGCGAGTTCTTTCTCTTCATCCTCAATCTCGTCTGCTATCCACATACCATGGAATGACAGCGGAATATTTAATATCGTCCGTTCGGCTGTCAGAAATCTTCGGCCGAATGTCATTAATAAACCAGTACACTGCCCAGCCACTGACGGCAAAGGTTAGAAAGAGCAATACCTCAACAACTCAATCTCGCGCGCTGCATACCATTTGCGTGACAAACATAGAAATGTAAATTATATTAAATGTCCGAAATGCTGCGCGTTGAGAACGGATGTGGTGTATTGTACCCAGAAACTACAGAGTATTAAATAAGGCTATGAATTTTGTGATTCTTGTGCTAGCAGACAGAAGGCAGCTGTTTTGAGTTAGTGTTGGAAGAAGTATTTTGAGCGCACCGAAAAATTAATTATTATGTTTCACTTAATTCTTTCATCAGTTTAATACAAGCAATGTACCTCTTGCGTTTTTAGTTAAACGATAATCACATTAAGGTGAAATCTGGTCTCTTTCAAGCACTCCAAATTAATAAAGACTAGAATTCTATTGCATCAAAACAGAAAGTTCGAAAGGCACATCCGTAAACTAATCCGTTCTTCTCGTACAAAACTTACGATATGGGCTAGTCGAATCATTGTTAAGACTCCGATTATTTACCGAAATAGCCTAAATCTCAAAATTACAGCACATGGTTCCGATCTGGTATAACTATCGGGTTGGCAAGAAAGTAATATCAGTTTTTTAGTGAGAAATAAAACTTAGTTCCTCCCCGCCCCAAAATGAACTTTAAACAGTCATTCTGTTTGATGACCTTTTGCCATCTTTCTTTAACTTCACGATTTTGTGCTCAGAGAACTTCTGGTCTTTATCAGCAAAGAGCTTAACAAAGTGTAATTTGAGATCAACGTTATTACTGAAATTTTTACCACTTAAGACGTTTTGTGAAGTTAATGATAATCTGATGGTGCAAGGTCAGGGCTATATTGAGGATGCGACATCCCTTCCCAACCAAACTCCAGTAATTTCGTACGAGTTAAGGATGTGTGAGGCACATGATTCCTTTGCAAGTTGCCAATTCTAACCTTTTCTCTATAGTTGCATCCTTCATTTTCATAAGCTGTTGGCAGTAAACTCATGAGTTGATCGTTTGGTACCTTGGAAGCAGCTCAAAATATACAACATCTCTATAATCCCACCAAATTGACAGCATGAACTTTATCGGATGCAATTTAGCTTTCGATATAATTTGTGCTGATACATCATGCTTGGATCATGATCTTCTTCGATTAATATTACTGCAGACGATCCATTTTTCATCCCCAGTGATAATTTGTTTCAAAAAAGATT